GTTCAATCCCAGCTCCTAACTCCAATTTTCTGCCCAATATGGACCTTGGGAGGCAGCATTAATGGCTCAAATAATTGGGTTCCTGCCACTGTTGTGGCCAGATTTTGAGATCCCCAGAAATTACCAGCAGTCTGAAGTTGATCCAAGTGTACAAGGATGGTTTATTCAAACTCAGCATGGCACATGGCTGACCGATCGGCCAACCAGCCGGTTGGGACTAACACCCTTTTACTGGACTGCAGCCTGGGACAGCACAATCATAGTCTTTTTTTTTTTTTTTTAAAGATTTATTTTTATTGCAAAGTCAGATACATAGAGAGGAGGAGAGACAAAGAAGATCTTCCATCCAATGATTCACTCCCCAAGTGACCACAATAGCTCGTGCTGCACCGATCTGAAGCCAGGAACCAGGAACTTCCTCCAGGTTTCCATGTAGGTGCAGGGTCCCAAGGCTTTGGGCCGTCATCGACTGCTTTCCCAGGCCACAAGCAGGGAGCTGGGTGAGAAGTGGGGCTGCTGGGATTAGAACCAGTGCCGCCGATATGGGATCCTGGTGCGTTCAAGGCAAGGACTTTTAGTGCTAGGCCACCTCGGTGGGCCCTCATAGGATTTTTATAGGCGCTGTCCACAATAGCTTGAAAAGGGGTAATTCACAAGAGTCTGCAAGGTGAGGGGAAATACCACACATTCCCTACCTATCTCGGCTGCACAGCCCATGCCTCCAGCAACTAAGGTAAGCACCCACTTAATTACTTGGAGCCACCTGTGAGATAACCAGACTTAGGTGGACCTCGATTTGAAAGCATTGGGGCTCATCAGTGCTAAAGGTCACATAGGCCGTTTGGCCTGCAAGCTCACAGTTTCTTAGTAGCAACAAGCCATGAACAAATGGTTGGGATTTTGATCCTAAGGTTCCTCACCACACAGTGAGACTAGATTCTATTCCCTAGTCTGGTCCAGATCTGACCCATGCAGGCATCTGGTTACTGGACCAGCAGATGGGATGCCTTCCTCTATCCCTCTCTCAAATAAAGAAACAAAAGCTTAAAAATATATATGTATATATATATACATAGGGCACAGCGCAGCAGCCTAGTGATTGAAGTCCTCACTCTGAGCATGCCGGGATCCCATATGCATGTCAGTTGGCCCCGCTTCCCATCCAGCTCCCTGCTTGTGGCCTGGGAAAATAGTCAAGGATGGCCCAAAGCCTTGGGACCCTGTAGCCACATGGGAGTGAAGAACCTCAGTATCAAAATCCCAACCATTTGTTCATGGCTTATTGCTACTAAGAAACTGTGAGCTTGCAGGCCAAACCCTTTAGATGCATATATGACCTTTAGCACTGATGAGCCCCAATGCTTTCAAATCGAGGTCCACCTAAGTCTGGTTATCTCACGGGTGGCTCCAAGTAATTAAGTGGGTGCTTACCTTAGTTGCTGGAGGCATGGGCTGTGCAGCCGAGATAGGTAGGGAATGTGTGGTATTTCCCCTCACCTTGCAGACTCTTGTGAATTACCCCTTTTCAAGCTATTGTGGACTGCCTCTATAAAAACTCTATGTTAAAATTCTTGCAGTTCAGTAGAAGTCATGTTTGAATAGTATAAGCTCCTAAATATAAAAATGAAAATAGACAGGAGACAGCTGAATAGTATCCTATAACTATTTTAAGGTGGATAGCAGCCGGTTGTGTATAAACTAAAATCGAGATGTCAATGAAGTAGTTACAGGATGAGGTTAAGAACTTGCGTGTTCTAACATACTGGTCATTCAATACCATGGCAATTAACTTCATAATGTTGTAAATTGTTGTTGAAGTTGTGTAGTGGCTTTTCATTTAAGGGGATGATATTCTGCCAGCTCTACTTTCAGACCAGGGGTGGCTTCCCAATGAAACTGTTCAATATGCCTGGACAATGAGATGCTGGACTCTGCATGGTCCTTGTCTGTAATGAAGGAATCATGACTGGTTATGATCTGTACTAATGTAACAATATGGAGGAATTCAATATGGGGGGAGGGTTTGAGAAGGGGTCAGGTGAATCCCAGAGCCTAAGAAATGGTGTCATAAAATGAAATAATAAAAAATAATAAAATAATAAATAAAAATGACCAAGAAGGAATTTTCTCCAACTTTGTACAATGAGAACACAAGATCAAAATTAGTATCATTAAGGTGAAAAATAAAACAGGTATTTTTACAAGCCCCATGTTTAGACTTGGAAAATAAAATCTTTATATTTTAATTTTTATGGATAATAGCTTAATGTCATAAATGATGAAAGCTTACATGAATCCATTACAAAATTAAACTATCCTTGTTGTTAAAATTTAACAACAACAAAAAAAACCCTATGAATGTGCTGTTCGGCGCCACACTCCATTAAGGGTGTTGGTCCCAGCCGGCTGGCTGGCTGGCTGATCAGTCAGCTGTCTGTCTGCTCTCAACCAAGAAACCAGGCTCGGATGTGCTGAGCTTGAATAAACCATCCTTGTGCACTTGGATCGACTTCAGACTCCTGGTGATTTCTGAGGATCTCAAAAAAATCTGGGCACAGCAGGAGACCTGGAAGAAGCTCCTAGCTCCCAGCTTCGGATCAGCATAGCTCCGGCCATTGTGGTCACTTGAGAAGTAAATCAATGGACAGAAGATCTTCTCTGTCTCTCCTCCTCTCTGTATATCTGAGTTTCCAATTAAACACACACACACACACACACACACATATGAAGGATACATGTAAGGAAATTATGCAATTTCCCATAGGATATGAGCATTTGCCTGGGACCAATTCCTCATGGAGCTGATGGAAAACTACAACTGTATGTACAGATACAGGTATTTGGACACAAAAATAGACATTTGTGTCACATTCTATGTTTATATAAGTACAGAATACATACTTTTTACATTAAAAAATATTTTAGAGCCATAGAGCTTGTTGGTTTACCCTCCACAGAGGAGCAAGGAGCTCGGAACAGAGCCCAGGTGTACCACGGCGATGGCAGAACCGACTGCTTGGGCTGTTACTGCTGCCTCCCAGGGCCTGCACTGGTGTTGAGCTGGAGTCAGGAGCCGGAGCCAGGAAGCAAAGGCAGATGCTCTGATGTGGGACGTGGGTGTCTTAACCAATGGGCTAACTGCATGCTTCCGTATCTATATAGTATAGACAGAATACGCTTACCCACAAATCACAAAGCATGGATTATAGTTCTGCTATTACTTTATTATACCAAAGTACTATTTGTAGGTTCTTTCCTCCTTTGTCTATTTCTATTATGTTGTTAGGCTTGTTATAGTAGGGTTATAAATATCTTTCTTATTTGTCTTTTGAATTTGCTTACGGTCATTGTTCAGACACACAATTTAAAAAAAAATATTTATATGACTTTGTCAATATTGTATGGCTTCTGGATTTTCAATCAGAACCAGAAAGGTCTCACTGATTCCGTGAGGGAGCTATGCTCTTGTTTGTATTTCTAGCCCATAACAATATACATTTTTGTATACTGTTAAACCCTGTATTATTTAAGACACACAAAAGAAATACTTATTGAAGAGATATTCTGGAAGAAATGTTTTACATGCAGAAATAGCTGTTTTCCTCATTCTCCAGATGGGTACCCTGACCTGGGGGGCGGTATTTGTCCCCTTGCCCAGGGCTGCAGGGTGGGTAAATAGTGTCCGTGGCACTCCCTATGTTTTGCAGCCTAACTCCCCGCAGAGCCAGTGCTTCAAGATGCCGCCTGACCCTGGGACAGCCCTGTGCCCCCAGGGTGCCCAGGCTGAGTGCCAGACCCCAGGGATACAGTCATGAGAAAGTTAAGGATGTGGTCTGATGCCTTTTCATGTCTGGGCAGGACTCAAATTCACCACCTGAGGTAAGAGGCTGGGAGAGGGGCCTGCGCTGGCCTCCTCAGCTGCTTCTGCTTATGGCTGGAGTGCCAGGAAACACGCTGAACTTGGGCCTAGGTCTGTGCAGTGTGCTGGCTCCTGGGCTTGTGTGCCGTGTAAACATCAAGGTTAATTACTGATGCTCATCCTAAGTTGTAATATCTCATAGTGTTGGTTCCCATCTTTGTGCATTTTTCACAGCCTATTGTTCCCAAATTAGTCTTATTATTTCTTTTTCCTTATGAATTTCAGGAACAAATAGGGTAATTTATTTAACCTATAAAGCCTATCAGCACTTTTATTGGGATATGTCAAGTGTATAGTTTTATCCATGGAGGACTGCTATCTTCACAATACTGAGATTCTCCACCCAAACACAGAGTTCTCTCTGATCATCACACCAACCTCACAGGGCTGCCTTCAGAATGAAGTGAGAAAATACACAGGAAATCAGGCACGTAGGGACAACCCGATCTGGTACAGACCTTGAACCTGAACATACACATCCTAGGGGTGCCTGAGGTCACGCCTACCAAGGACCCAGCTCACTGCCTGGGACTTAAGTGCCCTGTAAATATTAGCTGTTCTGAAAAATAGGCTAAACCGGGGCAGAAGCTTTTGTGTGTGTGTGTGTGTGTCTGGGAGGAAGAGGGCGCCTCAAGGTCAGCCCTTCGTCAGACACGCCGTGCCCGGATGCCCAGTGTCCACAGCCGCCCACCTCCCCCCAGTGCCCACCTCCCCGCAGCGACTCCCCGGCGTCCACCTACCCCCAGCGGCTGCCCAGTGTCCACCGCCGCCCACCGGCTCCCCATCGTCCACCTCCCCACAGCGACTCCCCGACGTCCACCTCCGCCCAGCACTCCGGGGCTCCAGCCCCGCCCGAGGCCCCACAGTGCCACGTCTCGCGCGGCCGACTCGCCGCTGGGGCCAGCTACAGCAGCAGGCGGGACCAGCACAGGCCCCGCCTCCAGGCGCGCCGACGTCACGCCTTGGGTTCCGCCCCCGCCGCGTCCCCTGGTCCCAGATAGACCGGTCTTGGGCTGAGTGACGGGCCTCTGGCGGAGGGGGTGGGAGCAGCGTGCCCGGAAGTCCCGGTGGGGAGGGGCGTGTGACGTACGTCCGGCGAGCTGCCTGGCGGTGCGGGGTGCTGCTGCTGTCCTGTGTGCGCTCGGGGAGGGTCGGAGCCGCCCGCCGCGGAGGAGGAGCCCCTCGGGCCGTGAGTGTGGGGCTCTCGGCGCGGGCAGGAGCCGGGCCTGAGGGGCCGGGACACGGGGGGCGATGGCGGAGAGGAAGGCGGGCGGAGGCCGGCCCCGGCCGGGGCGGTGGGGGGTGGGGGAAGTGACACGCAGGCGGTTCTGTGGGGCCCCGGGCTGCTCTGGGCGGGGACGGGCCGTTGGGGCCGGGTGTGAGCCGTCCTCGGCCGGCGGCCGCCTGCACACCCCTCGGTCCCGTGCAACTGCTTAACCAGGGTAGAGAGCAGGTTCCTCGTCTGTGAGGGGCGCCGCGGTGTCCGCCTCCTCGGTTCCCTCCCGGGCGAGGCGAGTGGGAGCCCTGGACACGGGTGTCCCTGCTGGACACGCACCTGGGGCTCCCCGGGCCCCTGCAGACGGGGATGCCCCGTGTCGAGCCCCGTGCCTTCTCCCTCCACCTCTCCCTCTGTTCCGCCCCACTCTGTTTTCGTGCGCGTGTGGCGTACAGGTTGGCGTTTCCATCACGAATTCGGCTGAGCGGTGGGGAATACACCGGCAAGGGTCGGCACTGAATGACCCCCCGCCCCATCAGTAACCTTTACTGTTCTCTCTCTCCTTGAGCCGGGTCCGTGGTGCTTCGGCTATGCTGCAGTGTTGACGGGGGTTTGCCAGGAAGCTGAGCCTTTGCACATTAGTTTCTCAATGACAGCCAGCTGCCTGCCATCTCCAGATAGCTTAAAGTCTCCCTCGATGTGCGCAAGGAATGTGTAAATTTCTTATTGACTAGTGGTTATTTTGGTGCTCCGCTGCTCGTGTGTGTGTGAGAGAGAGAGAGAGGGAGAGAGCGAGAGAGAGAGAAGAGAGAGAATCTGTCCTGAGATTTGGGGGATTTGCTTTTTGGGTGCATTAGCAGAGTGTTTTGTTGGCAGCTTAGAAGCCTTGAAGTTTGGAGTACTCTAACTTGGTGTAAGGTGGTAGAGGGATCAATCAGTAGACAAACATACAGAAAACTGTTAAAAATACCAGCTAAAAGGTGTAGGTTATCTGTGCTGTTGGCAGGTGAAGGAAGTAGGCTTTTTAAAAATTGCAGTTTGTATTTGAATTTGATGTGGTGTAAACAGGGAGAGTTTCAGTTTTCTTGTGAAAAGCTGAGAGTTTTTTAAGTCCTGGAATTGATACTTTTCCAGCAGAGCAGTGCTTGAGAATCAGCCAATCCCAGGAGTCAGCAACAGTGTAGCCGGTGAGGTGTGTGATGGGGCTGGTGTGAGGTGCTGCAGAAGCTGTGAAACTGCTGCATTTGGTGCAAGGCCTAAGATCTCAAGGATGTGTGAGCCATCAAAGCCAGTTTATTTGGGTAGCAGACACTTTGGGTCTGTTGAGTTTGGTTTTAACATCACTTGCAGATTCTTGAAACATTTTCATTGATTGCTTTGGAGGGAAATAGTATAGGACTTGGAAAGTCCAGATTGTCCAAGAAAAAATCGGAAAAGCCAAGTAATTCAGATGCTATGAAAAAGTCTTAAGTATGGAGGTTTTCTTTCTTTCTCCCTCCCTCCCTTCCTTCCTTCCTCCCTCCCTCCCTCCCTCCCTTCCTTCCTTCCTCCCTCCCTCCCTCCCTCCCTCCCTCCCTCATTTATAGAGTTTATCTAAATTGGAAATAGTTCTAAAACATTGAGGTAAAAATTTTAAATTTATTTATTGTTGTGTAGTTGAAAGGTAGAGAGCTCATTCCCCAAATGCCTGCAGGGCTGGGGCACTTAATCCAGGTCTTGAATGCAGGGGACAGAACCCAAGTACTTGAGCCATGACCTGTTGCCTCTCAGGGTAGCGTTGGCAGGAAGCTGAAGTGGAAGTCTTGAACTCAGGCACTCTGATGCAGGCACCCCAGAAGGTACCTCACGAAGCTGTGTAGTGCAAACCAGTGTAGTGCCAATGAACATGGACGCCTTGGGTTGTAAAGGAATGACCAAAGTAGGGGTAACCTAATGAGGTGAGCTGTGTCTCTCCAAGCAGTAAGCCGAGAAACTGGGGGAAGGATGTCTGGTTTGGGGGTGATTGTAGAGAAAAGGCAAATTGTTCTTTACGTGGAGCCTTCTAAGTGTGTTTGTCATTGGATTTCTTAACATGCAGGCCAAGTTTCCAGACAGAACTGTAATTTAGTGTGCTAAATGTGATCTTTCTGCCCAGATACATTTGACTCTTACTCTAAAGGTCAAAACCAAAATCAAAAGCTTTCCTCTTGGTTCCTACCTCACCCAAACACCCCAGTTTTATTTGCCCCTACGTGATAAGGACCATGTCAAGTAAGCGTTAAGCAGGCTGTAAATTTACAGGTCAGGGCACTGTGGCCCTGATAAAATTCAGTAATTGGATGGAGATGAAAAGAAGTGTTCCCTCTATATTTCAGCTTCTTTTTCAGCTAGCACTCTAAGAAGACTACAGGGGAGTGGGGTTTGGATATTCCTTTCACTTGTTATTGTTTGTGAAAGCTTTATGGGATTGTGCTGGCCAGTTGCAGTGTGAAGTTGTTCTTAGATGCTCTTGTAGGTGGAGAGGCATAAAAGTAGAGATATTTTTTCTGTATAAACCTGAGATGCTGAAGCAAAAATTCACTGGGACCAGGAACTGCTGAGTCTGAGGAACCTCAAGAAACCCCCCAACTCTTCTTGAATTCCATTCAGTGTGTTAGCCTTGTAGGAAGACTTTGTGGTGGTGTTGGGTCACCTTTTTGTCTACGCTTATGGGAAATGGAAGAGTGACATTAAATGATGGAATTAAGAAGCTTAGGAACCTACTGCCATATTATGAATGACTTATTTTAGAATTTTAAGGATTTGTGAGATGGTTTGAGCTTGGTTGTTAATATTTGAAAGGATTCTCTTTTCCTTCTGTGGTTCTGTAAAGAGATGTGTTTCTGTTTTGAAATTGAGATGCATATCTGCAAAGGAGGGGTAGACAAATATTGCTTCAGAAGAGAAAACATTGGTAAATGGAGCAGGATAGATGGTGCCAGCCAAAAGGATTTTAGGTGACTTTTTACAGGCTGTATACAAGGATAGGTTAATATGCTTTTGTTCCAGCTAGTAGGCTTTTCATTTTGGGTTTCTGCTTAGTGCTACTTAGTACATAGCATCTCTGTGGCCTCTTGATCCAAATTGTTTTTAAGATTTATATTATTTTTATTGGAAATTCAGATATGTAGAGAGGAAGAGAGACAGAGAGGAAGATCTTCGTCTGATGATTCACTCCCCAAGTGGCCACAATTGCCGGAGCTGTGCTGATCCAAAGCCAGCAGCCAGAAGCCTCTTCCAGGTCTCTCATGCAGGTGCAGGGTCCCAAGGCTCTGGGCCATCCTCAACTGCATTTCCAGATTACGAGCAGGGAGCTGGATGGGAAATGGAGCAGCTGGGATTAGAACTGGCGCCCATATGGGATCCTGGAGTATGCAAGGTGAGGACTTTAGCTGCTAGGTTACTGTGCAGGGCCCTGATCCAGATTCTTGATGGGAATATTCCCTAAAGCTTTTGCTAACTGTAGACAGCTGTGCTGTATTTTAATAATGTAGGTGGGCACATAGTAGGAGGAAATTGTATCTTAAACTGAGTGCTCTTGGTGTAGATTTATAACTGTTAGGAGAGCAGGAGTGATTCGAATAATGAGGCTTCCCCCCAGGGTATACCATTCATAAGTGTTAGGAGGAAAGGGAGTTAGTTTGTTTTCATTTTACCTTATACATGGAACATGGCTCTGTAAGTTTGCATCAAGGCCATAAGGGTTAGTTTTGGACCCTATGCGCTGACTCAATAGGCTAATATTCTGTCTCCTAATGCTGGGGTCCCATTTGGTCAGTGGTTTGTGTCCTGGGTTAGCTGTTCCACTTCCATCAAGCTCCCTGTTAGGGGCCTGGGAAAGCAGTAGAGGATGGCCCAAAGCCTTGAACCCTGCACCTGTGTGGAAGACCTGGAAGAAGCTCCTTGCTCCTGGCTTCAGAATGGCTCAGCTCCAGCCGTTGCAGCATTTTGGGGAGTGAGCCAGCAGGTGGAAGATCTTTCTGTCTCTCCCTCTCTCTGTAAATTTTTATTTTATTGGAAAATAAAAATAAAATCTTAAAAAAAAAAGAGAGAGTTGTCTGGTGTTGAGAAAGCTAATGTGTACTGCTTTGCTGTTTCACACAGGTAGTAAGCATTAATAATGTCTTTCATCTTTGAGTGGATCTACAATGGCTTCAGCAGTGTTCTCCAGTTCCTAGGTAAAGCCATTTCCTCAAAATGCGGGTTTTAAGTTTTGTGCATGCCTTTCAACAATTTAATTACAGGTTTAACTATGTGGAAAGCAAGTTTACATGAACTTTTTTTTTTCAGGGCTCTATAAGAAATCTGGAAAACTTGTGTTCTTGGGTTTGGACAATGCAGGCAAAACCACTCTTCTTCATATGCTCAAAGATGACAGATTGGGCCAGCATGTTCCAACACTACATCCAAGTACGTTTGAAAATGCCCAGTGACGTGATTTAATCTTTGAAAGTCAACATCAAGTTTAGTGGAAAATCTCTACTTTGATTAACCAGGGTCCCAAAATTCAGCCTATTTAGAAAAGTTACCTGGAGGACATAGTGAAGGCACAGACTCTTAGATCTGACTCTCTGGAACTGGTCACGTAATGGAGCGCACTTCACCATCTGCTTCTAAGAAGCAGGAGAAAAGGAAGCGCTTGGCTTTTTAGCACAGTTTCAGAACATTCTCGCTGTGTTCCTTTCATTATAAGGGAAGGCCTCACTTGGGGCTTGTATTGGGATTGCCTTGCAGTGCTGGTAATTGGGCCTCTGGGTAGAAGAGTTTATTTCTTTCCTCTTTCTTGCCAATTTTTCAGCATCAGAAGAGCTGACAATTGCTGGAATGACTTTTACAACTTTTGATCTCGGAGGGCATGAGCAAGGTAAGAAGAGGCTTGGCGGTAGCCTGGTGTTGGCTTCTGGTTCATCCCACTCCCTCAAGCAGTATGTGGTTTTTGCCTCCTAGAGTTTTGTTTTTTTTAAAGATTTATTTAGTTTATTGGAAAGGCAGATGTACAGAGAGGAGGAGAGACAGAGAGGAAGATCTTCCTCCCCATGATTTACTCCCCAAATGGCCACAATGGCTGGTACTACACCAATCCGAAGCCAGGAGCCAGGAACTTCTTTCCGGATCTCCCACATTGGTGCAGGGTCCCAAGGCTTTGAGTCATCCTCTGCTGCTTTTCCAGGCCACAGGCAGGGAGCTGGATGGGAAGTGGAGCTGCCGGGATAGGAACCGGTGCCCATATGGGATCCCGGTGCATTCCAGGCGAGGACTTTAGCCGCTAGGCCTCGCCGCCGGGCCTGAGAACATATTTAAAAAAAATTCATGGAAAATGAAAGCAAAGAATAAGCTTCTTGTGGTGCAATAGCTAAATGTATCAGATAATCTTGCAAAAGTTCCTGGGAAATGTGTATGATTATAATATCTGCAGTTATGTTAATGAAATTATCGAACAATTGCTAGGGTGATTTATGAGGAACTATGAATATTCTATTTTGTAATATATTATATGGGGATTTCAAAAATTTTTTGCAGTAAAATAACTTTAAAAATTTTATTATTTTATTTTGATGATCTTTACATCCTTGATTAGGGCACAAAGGGTCAAGGGCTACAGGAAAGTGGACCATTGTTTCCACATTCTCTTTCTCTTTTTTTCCCCCCTGCATCTGGGATAAGAAGGGAGATAAAGGGAGAAGCCCCACCCAGACTCCCAACCATCCCAGAGATCCTGATGTGGGGCATGCTCAAAGGACACTGCTCAAGTGATTTTGATAGTTCAACAGTTGTGAATAGCTGCCAGTCTTGCCATTCCAAGCATAATGAAATCTCTCTAGGATCCACTGGCCGACATAGTCCACCATTGAGTCTCTCTTTGCACAGATTTTCACTACCAGTGCTTGCCTGGGGTAGTTAATCGATTTATTCTGTCCTCTGTTGTGGTACCAGGTGTCCTTTGCAGGCTCCAATGTACTGCCATATTCTCCATGTGAATTTCCACTGCTCTGTCTGAGCCACTGAGGAGGCTCAGCTTTTTTTTTTTTTTAAGCTTTATTTATTTGTATTGCAACGTCAGATATATATATAGAGGAGGAGGGACAGAGAGCAAGATCTTCTGTCTGATGATTCATTCCCCAAGTGACCGCAACGACCGGAGCTGAGCTGATCTGAAGCCAGGAGCCAGGAGCTTCTTCCAGGTCTCTCATAGGGTGCAGGGTCCCAAGGCTTTGGGCAGTCCTCAACTACTTTCCCAGGCCACAACCATGAAGCTGGATGGGAAACGAGGCTGCCAGGATTAGGATCAGCGCCCATATGGGATCCCGGCGTGGTTCTAGGCGAAGACTTTAGCTCCTAGGCCATGGCTCCGGGCTTGAGGCTCAACTTTGACACATGGATCCATGGTCAGACCATGGAACTTGCACTTCTCTTCATGGTTGGGTTTCTTAGTTCAGCAGTTTAATTTGAGGGGATCCCTAAAGAAACTTCATCTGAGGTGATCCCAGACCTGATTCTTATATGAGTGCTTGCCTATACAGGGTCCGGCGCAGTCTGTCGCCCAATCAGTGTATGCATATGCTGGTGGTTGCTATTGCTGGGTCAGTTCTGCCTCTAGCCCTGTCTTCTACACAAACCAATGGGTGTTTCAGTCCAGCCTAATCCTGCCCACCACATGGCCCTCACGCAAACCAATGGGAGCTGCAGCCTAGTCTGAGAAACCCACGAAAACCCCCTCCAGTCCCGCCCCCTGCCCTGGTTCCTGTACTTGCCAGTATGTGCAGCAGACTGGTCCAGTCTGTCCCACATCCCATTCAGCTCTCATATATGTCAGTGGGCACTGAAGCCTAGTTCAACCCAACCAGCCCCATTAACCAGCCCACACATGTGCTGAGGGTGCCACTCTCTGTCTATCCATGCCTGCCCCAGTCCTGGTTTTCATGTTCCAAGAGGGAGGTGCCTTTTAAAACTTTTTTTTTTTCGGACTTGGTACGATAGCAATAATGGTTAAGGTCCTCACCTTGAACTTGCTGGGATTTCATATGGACTCTGGTTCTAATCCCAGCTACTCCACTTCCCATTCAGCTCCCTGCTTGTGCCCTGGGAAGGCAGTCGAGGATGGCCCAAAGCCTTGGGACCCTGTACCCATGTGGGAGACCCGGAAAGAAGTTCCTGGCTCCTGACTTTGGATCGGCACAGCACCAGCCGTTCCTGCCGCTTGGGGAGTTAATCATCAGACAGAAGATTATCCTCTCTGTCTCTCCTCCTTCTGTACATCTGCCTTTCCAATAAAATAAATAAATCTTTAAAAAAAAATTTTTTGTTTAAGATTTATTTTTTTATTTGAAATTAAGATTTACAGAGAGGAGAGATAGAAATATCTTTTATCTGCTGGTTCACTCCACAAGTGGCCAGAATGGACAGAGCTTAGCCTCTCCAAAGTCAGAAACCCAGGAGCTTCTTCCAGGTCTCCCCTGTGGGTGCACGGTCCGAAAGTCTTGTGTCATCCTTGACTACTTTCCCAGGCTCCAGGCAGGGAGCTGGATGGGAAATGGAGCAGCTAGGACGTGAACCGGTGTCCATATGGGACTCTGGTGATTAGAAGGTGAGGATTTAATCACTGAGCCATTGCACTGGGCCCTTACGCCTATCTTTTTTTTTTTTGTTTGTTTGCTTTTTAAGATTTATTTTATTTTCGTTACAAAGTCAGATATACAGAGAGGAGGAGAGACAGAGAGGAAGATCTTCCATCCAATGATTCACTTCCCAAGTGATCGCAACAGCCAGTGCTGCACCAATCCAAATCCAGGAGCCAGGAACTTCTTCTTGGTCTCCCATGTGAATGCAGGGTCCCAAGGCTTTGAGTGGTCCTCGACTGCTTTCCCAAACCACAGGAAGAGAACTGGATGGGAAGTGGGGCCGCTGGGGTTAGAATTGGCACCATATGGGATCCCGGCACGTTCAAGGCGAGGACTTTAGCCACTAGACCACAGCACCGGGCCCATATGCCTATCGTGTAATAAAAATATTCCCGTATATATTACTACTTATCAAATCCAGGGTGTTTTATTTTTACGTAATGTATCATGTCTCTTCCTTTTTGTAAGTTGTTCCAATAGTCTCTCTCCTTTTTTTTTTTAAAGTTTATTTGAAAAGAGTTGCGCAATACTGTAGTGGCTAAAGTTCTCGCCTTGAATGCCCTGGGATCTCATATGGTGCCAATTCTAATCCCAGTGGCCCCATTTCCCATCCAGTCCCCTTCCTGTGGTTTGGGAAAGCAGTCGAGGACCACCCATAGCCTTGGGACCCTGCATTCGCATGGGAGACCTAGAGGAAGTTTCTCACTCCTGGCTTCAGGTTGGCTCAGCTCCAGCTGTTGGGGCGGCTTGGGGAGTGAATCATTGGATGGAAGATCTTCTTCTCTGTCTCTCCTCCTTTCTGTATATCTACCTTTCCAATAAAAGGAAAAAAATCTTGGGTCCGGCACCGTGTCCTAGTGGCTGTAGTCCTTGCCTTGAACGTGCGTGGATCCCTATGGGCGCTGGTTCTAATCTCGGCAGCCCTGCTTCCCATCCAGCTCCCTGCTTGTGGCCTGGGAAAACAGTCAGGGACAGCCCAAAGCCTTGGCACCCTGCACCTGCGTGGGAGACCTGGAAGAGGTTCCTGGCTCCTGGCTTTGGATTGGCGCAGCTCCAGCCATTGTGGCTACTTGGGGAGAGAATCAGCGGATGGAAGATCTTCCTCTCTGTCTCTCCTCCTCTCTGTGTTTCTGACTTTGCAATAAAAAATAAATCTTTAAAAAAAATCTTAAAAAAAAAAAAGAGTTTGCAGAGAGAGAGGGAGACAGAGATTTTCCGTTTACTCCCCAGATGGCAGCAGTGGCTGGGACTTGTTTATGCTGAAACCAGGAACCTGGAGCTCCATCTGGGTTCCCACATGAATGCAGGGGTCCAAACACTGGAGTCATCTTCCCCTGCCTTAGCGGGGGTTGGATCTGAAGTAGGCAGAGACTTAAACCAGGGCTTGTAGGGATGCAGTCATTGCAAGGGGCAGCTTATCTTGCTGTGCAACAGCACTGACCCTCAATTTTTATAAAGTACTTTACTGTTGGAGAGGTCTAGTACAATGTCATGTATTGTATTTGGTTAACAAGTCTCTTTTGTATCCTTTATTCAGTGGATTGTAAATATGTGGGAAATTAACTTGCTTGTAAATAATCTCAAATTTGTAGAAAGTTGCAAAAATAACAATGACTAAGTAGGATGATTATGGTTTAAATTGATAGCTTGTTTTGTATACTTTTTCCATCTTGGTGCAGTTGGAATATTCTCCCAGCTTTTTGCTTTCTTTGAGATTTCCTTTTTCTGCTCCTCATGCGGTGTGTGTTTGGTTCCCAGATGCCTGTCGGGTGTCTCTGTTCTGGAGATGTACACAAGTGGGCTTCTTTATCTGATGGACACTCAGTTTATGTTTGACAAGACTCTAAGCGTGGAGTATGATACTCAAAATGTCAGAATAATGTGAGAAGATGGGCTCAAGAAGCTGTTGAGAATGTGTCAGATTTACTGTTTATTGAGTCTGGAAATTTTTTAGAACATTTTACTGGGTTGAATCTAATTGAGTTTTTACAAAAGTATAGTTAAGAAAATAGACTACTAGTAGTAGCTAATCAGTAGCCTAGGACTTTCACAGATTTTTTACTTTATTAATGTAATTGTATTTATTTTATTCAATTAATGTTTATACCCTGAGAAATCATATGTGTAGTATAATTGTGATTTAGCTGAAACATTAGCAGGGGCTGCTTCCTTTTTTCCATCATGAGTTTGTATGTAGGAATGGCTATGTGGTGTCTTCTCTTTCAGAGATTTGTAACAGCTAACATTGAGATTGACTGAGACCATGTGGACAATGCTGAAGGAGAGACACCAGATGTCCTTAGATACTTGGGAGCTGTAGATTAGCTGTCAGATTTAGTTTACAGGCATTGTAAATGAAGGGAAATGTGCTCATGTATAGTTTTATTTCTTTGAAGGAGAATGTGCTTAACGGAAAAGCTGTTCATTATGATCTAGCTCCTGTTTTACAGCAGTGGTTAATTCATCTATGGGTTTCATTTCCTTTTCCGTTTCTGTAATTTTAAGATCTTATCTTATAAAAGCAGTATAGGCTCAATACTGTGACAGTATGGTGATACGGAAAATAAAAGAGAAAGTTCCTGCAGTTCTTGTTCCCCATCCCACTCTTTAGAAGTAAACATTTACTGATGAGGATGTGCTTGTTACTCATGCCACTGCAAGGACTAGAATTGAACGGCTTGGAAATCATGATACAATTAAAGTAACTTTCATCTGGTAGGTTAGGCCAAAGCTGATCGGATGAGTGTGTCAGCACACCCATACTGGTTGGTAGGGAGCGAAGTCAGAAGTTACAAACCAGATCTGCTGCAGGGGTAGAACAGGGCATCTGGGTCAGTTGACTGGGTGTTGGACAGGGGCGAGTAAAGCAAATGTTGGCCAACTGAAGAACTCCAGGCCTTATGGAAAAGTGAAGCAGTGGTTCCGTGCCAGCTGGTTATTGGCATATGAGTGGGTTGGGTGGACAGCCCAGAGTTGCAGTGATGTCAAGATAGATGAATTCTGAATTTATGAAAACCAGGCTCAGTTCATGGACTCATCGGTTTACCTTCCTGAGAATCTGTAGGGAATTATTGTCACTAACTAGGTTTGTCCATTTCACAGACCCTTAACTTCTTCATTTTCAGTTTACATATATTTATGTATTTTACTGATGGCAACCGCTTACTTTGTCTTTTAGCACGTCGGGTTTGGAAAAATTACCTCCCAGCAATTAATGGAATTGTCTTTCTCGTGGATTGTGCAGATCATTCTCGCCTCCTGGAATCCAAAGTTGAGCTTAATGTATGTTTACATTTTTTTTTTACTTCCTTACCACTCAGTACTGCTGATACGTAATCATTCTGGTTAGCATTTGGTGGGAGTTCTAGTTGCAGGAAGAAAAATGTCTTAAAATCCATGGCACTGCTTTTTAATGTCCTGAGGAAACTCAGCCTTAACTGCAGAAATCAACGTGTGGTTTGCTAGCCAAGGGTTCCTGTCTGGCTCAACCTAGTAAACAGTGTTCTTGCTTGTATATCACATGTGGTCACTCTTTTTAGTGTTCACCCTGTGAAACTCTAGCTGAGATAATTTATTACATTTTGAATATGCGTCCTCAGGTTGTGCCTCTCACCGTCCCATGAACAGGCTTGCTAGACCTCGACAGTCTGTTCTGGATTACAGACTGTTGGGGACCCACTGCCAACTTTCTCCTCTGGCAATGTTGTCTTTTCTTTTTGATTGAAAGACAGAGATACGGAGAGGAAAGCAGAGACAGAGATCTTCCATTTGCTGGTTCACTCCTCAGAATGCTGTAGTGGTCAGTACTGAGCCACTCCAAAGTTGGGGGCCAGGAATTTCTTCTAGGTTTCCCATGTGGGTGCTGTATTGCTCTTGCAGGCCATTCACATGAAATTGACTGGAAGTGGAGCAGCTGGAACTCAAACTGAAACTATATGAGCTGCCAACACTGCATGTTGATGCTTAGCGTGCTAAGTTAGCATGCCTGCTCCCATGCTGGTTCTTTAAACTCCCCTTTATACTCCTGGATTTAATGTTCTGGGGCTGGTCCTTTGCTTAGCCCTTAAGCTTGGTTTAAGGCTCGCCTTGCCTACTCCTGTTCCTTCATCTGCCACCCACACACCAATGATTCCCAAATGGATTTTTCCCATGTAGATCTCTCTCAACTCCGTGCTGACCACTAGGCAACCCCACTTGTTGATTCTGTTTTCTCAGAATGGAACTGTTCATCTTAAGCCACCACCCTCCTGCACCTGCAGTCCAGAAGCCTGTGCATTAGTGTAGAGCCTGCTACCATTGCCTTGCACTGAGATACTAGAAGGCACTTTCTGCAACTTGTCATTGCTCTACTTAGTGTCTTTCAGTGGTTCTGACACTTTCAGGATAAAATCAGTCTTATGTAGCACATAAAGACTTTTCATGATCTTCCCTATTTCTCCAGCATCTTTCCTTTCTCCTGCCTGTTTGAATCATATTTCAGACCTAGAGGACCATTTGTGTTGTCTTGAAGAGTTACAGGGAGCTATTGCCTGCCTGTCCGCCTCACGTGGGCACCACCAGGTCTTGGAGTTCAGCTATAACTGCCTCTGGGAAGCTGACCTGACCCCTACCTGCATTGCTCATGTTTATTATTATCTCTCACCAGAACTGAACTTCCAATCTGGGAATCTTATTGTGAAGCCCCTGCACTTAGCAAAAGCACTGGGTACATAGTAGGTTTTTTTTAGTCAGTGCTTAATGCAAGACAGCTGCTTATTTTTCTGCAGCGTTTTCTGGACTTCAGGATAGTCATAGCATCCTATTGTGGCCCAGACGTGGGATCTGTGTCACAGCCTTTACATCTCTGGATGTTCATTCGGTGCTGGTGCCTTAGGCCAGGTCCATGTGTGAGTTCATTGTATTGCAAGGGGGCTTTACCCACCAGCTTTTGGATTTGTGTTAACTTCTCAATGGGGACCGTGATGGCGGCTGTCCCTCCCTATCCCATTTGCTCAGGAGCTTCTTGTCTGTGTATCATTGCTTCACTCCAGCCTGTAGTGCGCTGTGTGACTTGCTGAATTCTTATCTGATTGAATTTTATGTTATGTTCTTCCTCCTTTCCTCCTATCCAAATCCTGCTTTTCTTTTAGATCCTTATTTAGATTGTGTAGCTTTGTTAAGACTTTCCTCAAACCCTAGTTGCCATTGTGTTTCTCTGAACTTTTCTCCACTCTTTGTGACCAGTCATCCACTGTAATCTTAACTTTGTGAACATGAACATAAGAATGAGGGTTTATTGGTTTCTTGACTGCAGGGATGTGTTTTATCCTTCATTGTGGATTTCTCTTTGCATGCACTGGGCAACAGTAGATCTTAGAGTGTTCCTGTAATCACTTTGGAGGCTCTAAGCCAGAGCGCTCAGTCTTTTAGGACCTTCTGTCCATGGTCTGCTGCTGGTGGGTAAAGCCCCCTGTTGCTTCCAAAGTAGGCTGGAATTGGGATTGTTGCGAAGCAGTTAAGAGGCTTTTGACCTAATGTGAAAAGTGTGTTCTAGAATATCAAGGTGAATTATGGGTATAGTTATGTTTTTACATTTGATGCTGTATAAGGTCTGTACAAATCGATTTTCAATATCGATGGACTTTTACAGGTTTCTCACTTTTATTTTATCTTGTCTTTAGGCTTTAATGACTGATGAAACAATATCCAATGTGCCAATCCTTATCTTGGGTAACAAAATTGACAGATCGGATGCAATCAGTGAAGAAAAGCTCCGTGAGATATTTGGGCTTTATGGACAGACCACTGGGAAGGTAAGAGAGAAATTTGAGGAGACTAAGTGCTGTACATAGCTTCTAAAGTGTCACTGGTTTGCCATTGTTTTTTTATTTATTGTTTAAGCATTTGTTCATTTCAAAGGCAGTTTTAGAACCAGAGAAAGGGAAAGAGGGAGAGTAGGGAGTGGCTGTTTTCCATTCATTGATTTACTCCTCAGATGGCTGTAGCAACCTAAGCTGGGCCAAGCAGGAGCCGGGGGCCAGGAGCTCCATCCCAGGCCATCTCACTGGGCCATCTACCACCAGCATCTCAGGCACATTAACAGGGAGCTGGATTGCAAGCAGAGCAGCTGGGACTTGAGTCAACACTGATAATAGGGTGCCAGCATCGCAGACAGCAGCTTAATCCACTGTACCACAAGGTGGGCTCCTCTTTTGCCATTTTGATTTCTTTTTTGAGAAGTTTCAATAGGCTTAGTTTGGATTTATTTTGTTTTGGATATTTCTATGAGCTTGCTGAAGGCAGGGGCATACTCTTAATTTGTTTTGTTTTCCAATATGTGATTACCTCAGTATTTAGGGAGTTGGTAGAAAAGACAAAATTACTCTTTTGAGGATTTTCTGATTCTCTTGCAAATTCTGAGAAATTTCTTTTGAAGGAATCATTCTTAGTCCTCCCCACCCCCCAAAAAATTATTTGTTTTTTTGATACTGGAGATTTTGAGTTATGAAGAAGAGTAATTGCTTTTTTTTTTTTTTAAGATTTATTTATTTTATTACAAAGTCAGATATACAGAGAGGAGGAGAGACAGAGAGGAAGATCTTCCATCCGATGATTCACTCCCCAAGTGAGTGCAACAGCCGATGCTATGCTGATCCGAAGCCAGGATCCAGGAACTTCTTCTGGGTATCCCACACGTGTGCAGGGTCCCAAAGCTTTGGGCTGTCTTCGACTGCTTTCCCAGGCTACAAGCAGGGAGCTGGATGGGAAGTGGGGCTGCCGGGATTAGAACCGGTGCCCACATGGGTTCCCGGAGTGTTCAAGGTGAGGACTTTAGCCGCTAGGCAACACCGCTGGGCCCGAAGAGTAATTGTTTATATCACTTTAGAAGTGCTGAAGTCAAGCCATTTTATTATCCTCACTGCTCGTTATTGAAGAAGTGAGACTGTTACCCCGTTTTGCAGTTGAGAAGCAGTTCTGTGCTACAAGCCAGCAATGAAACCGGAACTGGAACTAGAGCCTTCCAGTTTGATTCAGAGAGCTGGCCTGTGCACAAAGTCCAGGCCAGATACAGTTCAGCAGGAATTCTTTCAGCTTTTCAGTCTGAGGTTTTAGCATATTTAACAGAATCTTCCTTTTCTGTGATATAGTTTCCAAACTTGTTGCCTCTTCCTGGTTAACTAAAGTTTTCTAGAAACGCTTTCCTCAGTTTATTTAATTTCCTCTCTTATATATGAATGTGTGACATGTGGATTCTTAATTCCCTTGATGCAGCCTGTTCACTGCCTTTTTAGATGTGTGTTAATGAGCATGTCCTAACAATCCCAGACCTTCGTCCAGCAAAGTTCTGACCTTCCAGTTAAATGGTGTATGTTTGGAGCACATATTCCTGAGAGTGAGTGTCAGCCAGAGGCTGGGAATAGACACCCTGCAAGCAGGAACCCCTGGGAGGTCTTCATGTGGGCTGGACAATGTTCTTATGTACCTACTTAGGTTTGCTTTTCAGGAATGGGGAAGGATGATGGCAAGGATCGCCTTTCCAGACTTTTCTGCTGTGGAGATACTAATAGGCTTTTCTTGTTTACCTCCTTTAGGGGAACGTGACCCTCAAGGAGCTCAACGCCCGCCCCATGGAAGTGTTCATGTGCAGTGTGCTCAAGAGGCAAGGCTACGGCGAGGGTTTCCGCTGGCTCTCCCAGTATATTGACTGATGTGTGGACAGTGAAAATAAAAGTTTGACTTCTCTGGACTGATCCTATTCACAGCTTCCTCATGAACTTTTCTAATAGAGCAAGGAAAGCTCTCCAACCATGGCTGGCGCGAGAAACCAAGAATCTCTGTCAGCTATCCCTTCGCCCAGTGGTGACATGTGCTCTTCTGCACACTATTGGGAGGTAGTGCTGCCCCCACGTGCTGGTACAGGTCAGTATGCTGGGGAGTACAGCTGCGTGCCATCATCGGGGCACCTGAAAAGAAAAACACGTCTCACCACTGCGGTTCATTTCAAAAGAAAGCGATTCTATTTTTTAAAGAAAGTGTTGTTACTGGAATTGGTCTCCCTCCTAACTATTTGAGTTCACAATTTTCGTGGTCCAGAGTTTTCTATTCTATTTTTTTTTTTAACTAGTGAATGGCATTTAGATATTTCATAAAATTACGAACCAGTACAGTTAAGAGGCCCGAGCCCAGCTGTGCGGCCTTACTCCTACTGAGAGCGCTCCTGAGCTCCGTCTCTCTAACCACCTTGCAGCAGGAGGCATTGCCTTGTGTGTGGAAAGCAGGGGAGGGCCGAACCCTGGCCTCACAGTTGCAGCAGCTTTCCACTGTGGGGACTAGGGTCTTCCCTCATGGCTCAGTGTGTGCGTGTTTTTCATAGGGAAGGAGTAGTTTACAAGGAGTGGTTTGTTGCTATTGTTTTTACTCAAAAGATTACAAATTTTAGTCAGTCTTTGATTTTATACTGCCATGAAATTTTATTTCTTCCTATAGCACCTTGTTCATTTTCAGTTATAAAGTAGTCATGTACTGCAGGGTTGTCTCAACTCCATTTGCACAGATTCTGGGGGAAATTTTTCTGAGCAGGAGGACAAAGTTAACAGCTTGAGAGAACTTAATTCTGTGAGTGTGAAGAGTTAACAATCTGCTGTTATAGTACTTGTTTGAATACAGGAAGGATCTATTCAGTAGGCTTTAAAATTTTCTCTTGCAGAATTTTGTCCCTTCATTGGGCTATTCATGAGCTATTTTGCTTACATGGCTTCTTACCGATCATTATCATCATTCTCTCTGTCTCTCTTCCGATCATTATTATCATTCTGTGTCTCCCTCCCTCCCTCCCTCCCTCCCTCCCTCCCTCCCTCCCTCCTCTCACTGTGTGTGTGTGTTGAAAGGTCAGTGTCTAGCTTTTCCAGATTTTTTATTTGGATTGAAACTGCTTTTCTCACTTTCAGAAATCAGTGGTGGGAAACACTAACACAGGCCGTCTGCGGGCCGCTCCTTGCAGGCAGCAGTGTGGGTGTCCCCGAGCAGGCTGCAGGCTGTGGGTGTGCATCCCATTTTCTCAGTGTGCAGTAGGGTTTTCCTGATCTCAGCCTGTGTTCCTTCCCTGCCATGGAAGGGAGGGGCAGCAGGTGGCCCCACAAGGGAAGGAACTCTGCATTCATTTTTTCCTTTATTCATTTGACTTTGCATTTATTATCCTCAGAAGGCTGAGATAATTTTTGCAGTGATGATGTTTATTTGCAGAGGTCTGAACTAAATTCCACAGGTTCCTTCTGGTTTGAGGGGTGGGAAAATGCAGATAGCTGATTGCTGCGATGGGACAGCATCATCCTGTAGTTGGATTTCTCAGCCTTCATCTTCAGTCCTGACCTGCAGGGAGGTCTGCTGTCAGCAGCAGGTGCCCAGGGCAGACCTGGGCAAGGCCTAGTTTCAGAGTGCATGTTTTCCATTGATGGATTGACACACTGTTGGTTTGGCAGAGGGCTAAAGCCTTAAGTGAACAAATGTAGCTAAAGGTTGAAAGCATTAGGTAGTTAACTAGTAGACTTTTTATTTCCTTTAGACAAAGGTTCCCTGCACTTCTCAAAACCCAGGAAGTATGACTGCCTCAGTGTTAGTTTTCTTTCTGTTTCCCCTTCTTTTTCCCCTTGTCACTTTGTAGCAAGCTAGGAAGCCATGGGTTCCACAAAGGTCATCTCTTTGTGAAAGTGGTTCACTGCCCCAGCGGAGAAAGCCAAGTGCAGTAGGTTCCATCTCTTTTTTGCCCACACAGCAGCGTTCATGTAATGATAGCTTAAGTCAGTTTCAGAACCTTGTATTCCCAGGATTGAGACTTTGATTCTGTTTTGTCAGAGTGCATATATGTCCTATTTCAGGGAAAGTAAAACAGTCATTTACAAAAGAAAGTCAATCTGTATCCTTAACATTTTAATAAAAAGTTACAACCAACTTGCTGTTTTATTTTTCTTTTCATCTCTGTTGGTCTGCTGAGTCTGAACTCACCATGTCATCAGTGTGGGGAGGGAGAGGCAGTCTTTTTTTTTTTAATGTTAATTGGAAAATCAGATTTGCAGAGAGAGGCAGAGACAGAAATATCTTCCATCTGCTGGCTTACTCCCCAAGTGGACGCAATGGCCAGAGCTGAGCTGGTCTGAAACCAGGATCCTGGAGCTTCTTCCAGGTCTCCCACATGGGTGCAGGGTCCCTAGGCTTTAGGCCGTCTTGTACTGCTTTCCCAGGCTCCAGGCAGGGAGCTGGATGGGAAATGGAACAGCTGAGATATGAACTGGCACCCATATGGGATCCCAGCACATGCAAGGCAAGAATTTAGCCATTTAGGCTACGCTGCCGGGCCCAGCCAGAGTCTTCCCTCTACATAGGAAGAGACATTCAGGGTGGGTGTGTCAGATACTGAGATTTGCTACCAGAACCAAACCAAAGCTGGGCCACCTACGGTCCTGAATGCAGGGCTGGAAGCGTGCTCTGGGGCTCACTGTGGGACAGCATGCCGGTGGCTCTCTGTGGGAGCTCTGGGTCAGCAGGGGTTGAGGCCCTCTTGTGTTAGTGTGCTTGCAAGCACTGAGCCCAAGTCCAGGGCACCTGGGTTGTATGGAAAGCCGGAGAGGATCAGTGTCTGCCACGTTTGGTGAGCTAGGGGAAGGAATCTGCTTGTAGGAAGCTCTGCTATCAGAAAACCCATAGGGACTCCAGAACCCATGCACTGAGACCCACAGCATGGGAACCCAAGTGCAGTTGGGTCTCTCAACCAAGTGTGAAATTGCTGGAGGTTGTTCTGGCTTCCGTGTTGTTCTCACATAATGTTGTGGACCCTGCGGGTGGAGGTGTTTGTTTTGTTTGAAGTGTGTCAGCAGGTACTTGGGGGTCTCAGCTTGACTGTTGCTGGCTGTGAAGGTGACTTCTGTGTGCTGTGGCCTGCCATTAGCCCAGGAAGGAAAACCTAACAGTTCATGCTGAAGGCTTAAGTACCCTTAAGGGAGGGAGGATCATGGGACTCCAGAAGGGCAGGGTGGGTTCCTGGGAAGTTGGGGTAGTGAAGATGAGTCCGTTGTCTGGGTTACAGAACTGGAGGACAACAGTGCCTGTTCCTGGAAGATGCTTGACAGTCCTGCCTCCTGTCTTTCCAGAGCCATTTCTTTTTCAGGCTGATGGCACGAGGAGCACTGGGCTCATGCTCCAGCTTTCTGCCAGGGGTGTACCAGGCAGTGCTAGTTGAATCGACAGAATGGAAGTCGTCTTTCACTAACTGTCTAGCTGATGGTAACTGCTTGAGGTTTGGTGGGGGTGGGGAGTGGCATTACAAGGGCCCTTAAACATCCATGTTCATGTCTCTGTACTCCAAGATTTGGAAAAGTAGGCACATTGGATGTTTCTTAGATTACCGATTCAAACTGTGGCTTGTAGGCTTCATCTGCCTCTGGTGCCTGTGTCTGTATGGCACGTGATATAGGGAAGTGTTTTACAGTATTGAAAAGGAGGGTCCAATGTGTAGTGACTAAAACCTCACCTTGCACACCTGGGGTCCCATATAGGTGTCAGTTTGTATCACGGCTGCTCCTTGCTTGTGGCCTGGGAAAGCAGTAGAGGATGGTCCAAAACCTTGGGACTCTGCATCCACTTAGGAGACCCAGAAAAAGTTCCTGGCTTCAGATCAGCTGAGCTTGAGCCACCTGGGAAGTGAACCAGTGGACAGAAGATGTTTCTGTATCTCCTCTCTGTATATCTGCTTTTGCAGTAAAAATAAATCTTAAAAAAGAAAAAAGCAGGGGGAGATATTGTGACTCGTGGAACAGGTTAAAGTGTAAGGCTTTACTGGAGCACAGCCATCACTGTGCCTTTAGCTTTGGTGTGCTACGACTGCAGAGTAGGGACACAGGGCCCATATAACTGGTCCTGTTAACATTCCGGCCTGCTATAGAACAACCTAGATCCATGCTGAGAGGTGGTTATGAACATCATGGAAAGTGCACACTGCCCGCTACAGGGTTGACTTGAGACACTGTCCAGCATCGCCTGTTCAAAGGGCCGTTTAATTGACAACAGCAAATCGTTTCCATGAAATTCAGCTTGTTGGAGCCTTGGCAGCAAAAGGGCCTAGTGACTTCCATGCCCCCTAGTGGATTGCTGTAGGGTTTAACATTTCTGAATACTGAGCTGGGCCCCCGGGTCAAAGGCAGAAGGTCGCCGGGGCCTGGGTCCAGCCTGACAGGACTTTGTCAGGACCTGGGCAGGTCGAGCCACGTCAGCGCTCATTTTTTCTCTTCCTTTCTCCAGCCGGACAAATAGGCGACACCGGGCCTGGAGGACCCCGCCCTCCTCCGTCCCATCTCGCTGTGACGCCACTCGCCTCATTCTCCCGGGGTTCTTCCTGCAGGACAGCTGCTCCCTCTTGGACGCACAGATTGGACGAACCCAGGAGGGCGGGGAAAGGCGGGATCGCACCCGCAGCCAATGGGTCGGTCGCAAGGGCGGCCAATCGGCTCGGGTCGGCTGGGGTTCAGCCAATCCGGCTGGACGAGGAAGACCCGACTCAGTGCGCCTGTCGCTTGCAGAGGCGTGGGTTCCCGCAGCGCGGTCTCCAGCCGGCGGGGTCGGAGTCCTCGCTGGCTCACTAGCTTCTTAGTTCTCGGGGAAGCTGCAGGTGTCAGGCCCGGAGGCCATGGGGCGGCAGTGGAGGCTCGCCATGAGGGCTGCCGAGCAGGCAGGATGCGTGGTGAGCGCCTCCCGGGCCGAGCAGCC